ATACAATCATTGTCATTACCATCCCAACCAACATCACCATCATATCACCATCATCATCATTACCATCATCATCATCATCAATATTATTATCTCTCTCTCATCATCATCATCATCATCACCACAATCAGCATCATTGTCATAACCATCTCTATCATCTGTCATTACCATAATCATCATGTCATCATCTATACAATCACTGTCATTACCATCACAACCAACATTATTATCATATCACCATCATCATCATCCCCACCATAATTATTACCAGCATCAATGCCGCCATCATCATCATCATCATCATCATCATCATCATCATCATCATCATCATAATGATCATCATCGTCCAAGCATCATAATCACTATTATCAGCTCACCTCACATCTGACAAACTGAAGTAATTTCATAAACATCTGAGACCTCTCTCACTGAGCTCCGAAAATTCTCTGACAACAAATATGAATGACTTAAACTTGTAACATTTTATTTAAGTAGGCTGGATGAATACATGTACATTCATAAGCATGTAGCAGTATATATCAATAATTAATGCAATACAAGCATTAAACAATGTTAACAAATGCCTTGTTGTAAATGAGCCTACTTCAAGTATCTAAGACAATATAATAAATTACAATACTGTATATGATCGTTAACAAAAAGTGTTCCTGAAAACTCTGAAGCCAAAATCCATCAGGATAAAAGCTGTGTGCGTTTAATCCTCAATTACACCAAGATCAGCGCATGTGAACCCGAGCGGCCAGCAGGAGGCGCAGTGACTGCAGCAGAGCTCACTTTACAACTTCAACATCAACAACCATTATCACCACACCGTCAGTCTCTCTCCAAAGCCATTATAACAGTTTAATATTAGATGTCCATAAGTCTCTACCTCCGCTCATTACTGAAATGATTTGAGAATTAATTACTGAACTACATCGTGCTTAAACTGACAGCAACAACCGCACGAATGAAATAATCTGGAAATTAGAGACTGAAATAAAGTTAAAAGCGGCAGAATTAAATTTCAGACTAGTCTATTTGTGCAGCAACTTTTTAATATGTTTTTATTAGTATCTATTATTTTTATTATGTCTATTATAGTTGAAGTCAGAATTATTAGCCCCCCTGAATTATTAGCACCCCCCCTGTTTATTTTTGTCTCCAATTTCTGTTTAATGGCATTCCTGTCAACATTGGGATGTGATAATAAGGGATATATCCACCATAATTTGGGTAGCACACATATTTTTAATGCCTTCGGCAGAATTCAAATGAGCAATTTTAATCTAGATTAATTCCGAGAATAATCTAGATTAGAAAAATTAATCTATGCCCACCTATAATATATATATATATATATATATATATATATATATATATATATATATATATATATATATATATATATATATATATATATAT